AAAAGGGTTGTTGCTTACAAGGGGTTTTTATCACTTAGAACAAAGGATAAACCCACCTCAAACAAGATGTTTTTACCAAGCAGAAAGAAGCACAGGCAAACAAGTCAGCAGATGTTGCAAGTAGAAAAAAGGTCTCAGAACTTTCCACTGCAAGAAAACTGAAAAACAACTTCTAGCTTCAACTGTAATGTACCAACTTCAGTGACTGGAGAACAGGAACATGGATATGGTAATTACAGTAATTATGATAGGTTATAGGTAAAGGTTAAGGTGTGGATTGGTGCTTCTGTATGAAGATGCTCAGCAAAGAAAAGTACAGAACGCGTTTGTGCCCTGAGCTCAGGGTCCCAGCTGCCTGCAGCTGGAGCTGACAGCTGGAGGCACAGGCTCTGCCACCCACAGCCCTGGGCTGCTGGGAGGTCCTGGACACAACAAACTGCACTTGGGAGAGCTGCCTGGAGTCCTGCATCCCTCATTGCAGCTCCTGCACAGAGGGGCTCAGAGGGATGGAGCCCCTGTCCACGAGGAAAGGCTGGGAGAGCTGGGATTGCTCAGCCTGGAGAAGATTTGGGGTGGCCTCGTGGTGGCCTTCCAGTGCCTGGAGGGAGGAAGGTGGGGCAGGACACAGGGAATGGCTTCCCACAGCCAGAGGACAGGGTTAGATGGGATATTGGGAAGGAATTCCTGAATTTCCCAGAGAAGTTGTGGCTGCCCCTGGATCCCTGGAAGTGTCCAAGGCCAGGCTGGACAGGGCTTGGAGCGCCCTGGGATAGTGGGAGGGGTCCTTGCCATGGCAGGGGGTGGCACTGGGTGAGCCCTTCCCACCCAAACCATTCCAGGATTCCATGATTTTTCCCCGGTTTTGCACTGCTGGACATTCCCATGGTCAGGAATATCCGTGGTCCTCAGCTGTGTCCCCTACCAAAGTCTTGTTTCCTGTCCCACTGGGAGCAGGAAAAGCCTGGAAGTTTTGTAGCCCCACTCAGAAACACTGACAACATCTCGCTGTAAATAACCCTGGACTCAGCATGGACCCAAAACAGCTCCTGTGAGCAAAATTAAATAAACCTAGGCTCCAGCCCAGCCCAAACCAGCACAATCCCTCCTGGAAATTCAGCTGTGGGAAAAAAAAAACATGATATCATTACAAGATGCAAATGAAAATTTGGCTGGAGAATGCCAATCCACGTGCTCTGAGAAATTTGGGATAAAAGATTCAAGGTGCTCTCGGTGTTTAACCCCCAAAATAAATTTTTAGTTTGCTTTTGTAGCTGTGCCTGGAGAGGGAGCAGCAGCAGCTCTGTCCCCTCATGGAGGTTTAATTGGGATGGGACTTTCCAAGGTTAGGAAAAAGCTGGATTTTATCCATTATTTCAACCTGCTGAGCCAGAGGTTTCTGCTCCAGTTCCTGCTCCAGTTTCCAAGCTGGCAGATGGATGTGGAGTTTGGAAAGGGAATTTGGAGAGGGAGGTGTTTGGAAAGGGAGTTTGGATATGGAGGAGTTTGGATAGGGAGTTTGGATAAAGGGTTTGGATAAGGAGTTTGGATTTGGATTTTTGCCAAACCCTCACTCTCTCCTCCATCCCACAGCTCCTTTCAAGTCCTGGTTCGAGGGGAGGGAAGGGAGGAGGGGAGAGAAAGGGAGAGGGGAGATCTGAGCTCTGACTCTGCATTTACTGATAATTTTCCCTTGTTTTTAGGGCACTGGGCTGGCAGGGAAGGAGAAGGGTTTATTTGACCTCTCCCCAGCCCAGAGGGTGCCAGCTCGGAGGTTGGGAAGCTGCCTCGGGAAAGGGAAAGGGAGAAAGGATGAAAAATCCACCTGCTTGCCCTGAGCACCCCACAAACCCCAAAACTAAAGCAGGCAAAGGGAGTGAGGACAGAAATCTGAGTACCTCTCACCGCAGAGGGGAAACTGAGGCATGGAGGGCTAGAGTGGCTTGCCCAGGCTTGCCCAAGGAAGGTGCAGTGGGGAATTGAGCTCCGGTCTCATGAAGCTCACAGCTTGCCAGAGCTCTTTTTTTTTTTTTTTTTTTCTGTTTCAAAGAGGAACTTGGAATTTATGAGCCAAATAATTCATTTGTGGGGAGGAAGGGGGGGAAGGTCAAAATTATCATACAGCCCCAGAGCCCAGGCACCAAAACAGGCAGGAGGCAGCACAGAACTGAAGGTAAAACTGGATGGTGGTGTTCAAAAATAAAACATGAATGGTCACGTACCCAAGCAGCTCCCGGGGTGTGCTGAGGGTCACAGCCCGAGAGAGACGCTCTGGGAGGGGAGATTAGAGCCTCCCACAGCCCAATCTTTGGTAGAGCTGGATGTTGAACAAACAGAAGCTGAGTCAGACGGACAGGAACATTTTGAGGGTCTGAATGTCAGAGGAGGAGGTTACCCATTAACGTGAGGCTGATAAGGCTCAGCTTCCCCAGTCACCCATTTACTGCTCATTCCCTGTGGGAATTCCGCACTCCACACTCCCTTCTCTCCACAGCCAGAGGGCAGGAGTTCAGCCAAGCTCCTGCTCCAACCCTCACACTTGTTTTATTCTCCACTTGCAGCAGAACTGTGCAAGCCAGGGGAGGATTTAAGACCCCAAAAACCAGAGGGTCCCCTCTTGTTCTCAACGTGCTCAATTTCCCCCCAGTGCTGTGCTGGAGTGCAGTCTCTGGCTCCAGGGAATTCTGGGTGCAGAGGGATAAACAGGCTGGGGATGATAAAGGCTGGAGGTCTGGCCCTGGGAGATAAACACACAACCCTTTCTCACTCGTGGCCAGAGCCTGCCCAAAAACCCACCTTAAATGAAACCCACCTTAAATGAAAATGATTTTTCCAGGATGGGAATTCTTGCTGTGAGAGGGAATGATGTGTCTGCCCAGTGTCCCACTCCTGGGCATGGCTGGGGACTAGGAGAGGGTGACCACCCTGACCTCTGTCCACAGCTTTAATCCCCACTGAGCTGCCTTTGTACAAATATTCTCCCTGGGGTTTGTCAGCACAGATAACTCAGGGCTGTTTTATAAACGGGGAGACTGAGACAGAAAGGGAAAACCCTGCGGCTTCCCAGCAATGTTTGGTGGGAGGAGGACGGGATGCCAGGGTGTGGGTGCTGAGGGGTGGCCTGGCCCTGCTGGGACGGCTGTGGAGCCAGGATGAACCACATTCCATCACAGGGCAAACTGGCATGTCCCACATCCCGGTTTTTCCTGGCTGAATTCAGGCACAGCAGTTCCCTAAAGAGCATCAGGTTGATTTTTCAGAGAGGAGGAACAGAGAGGCTGAAGCCTTCCCCATCCCATTTGCACATGGATGAGCATTTAGCTGTAGTCCTAGATCTAAACCTCGTTCTAGTTCTGCTCTAGCTGTAGTCCTAGATCTAAACCTAGTCCTAGATCTAAATCTAGTCCTAGATCTAAACCTAGTCCTAGTTCTGCTCTGACTGGGAAATGAATCATTCTCTGCGGACTCCAATGACTTCAGCTGCAGTCAGTGGTGCCCAGAGCACACAACACATGGTTTTGGTTAAACACAAGGCCCCACATACTTTTTGGGGCTTGTAATAGAGGTACCCACCCAGGAAACGAGCAGGAATCCTCCTCAAAATCACACTTCAGCTTCATTAACTGTGGCACAGCCAGGCTGAATAATTCCCCGAGCGAGCAGACAACCAGATGGCCGCGGCTTGTCCTGCCATGAGCGCAGCCATCAAGGAGAAGGTGCTTCCCAAATATCCACATCCGGAGGGGATTAGCTGTGATCGTCCTCATCCAGCTGAATCCAAGGAGCCTTCCTGCCCTGCTCCGAGGGCGGGGGTGCTCAGCAGTCCTTGGCATGATGGATGCACGGAGCGCTGAGCAGTATTTTTCGTGCCTTGGTGCTGGGTGCGTTTTTCAGGCTGTCTCCTGTAGATTTCCCTGCCTTCGGGCGCTTAGGAAAGCAAATGCAAACCTGCTTTTCTACGCCCTCCGATGAGTCACCGGGGAGGTGACAGAAAGGGAACTCACGAGGATCAGTTCCACTAGTTCAGGACTAGAAAATATTAACAAGGGAGAGCTCTCTGCCCCAGATTTCTCTCAGAATCCTGATTCTGGAACGGTTTGGGTTGGAAGAGACCTGGAAAAGCTCTTTTGGAGCCCCTTTAGGTGCTGGAAGGGGCTCTGAAATCTCCGGTTCCTGTCCTTCCTAAAGCCCCTCTATTCCAGGACTCCCACCACAGCTCCACCATCTCAGTAAAACCAGACTTTTCTTGGCATTATTTTTTCTCACACACTCCCCTGATAGCGTGCAGCAGCAGAGCCGTTTGTGTAACAGCAGAAAGTTCAAAGATTTAACTTACATTTTTTCCCCTTCATCTCGAGTTCTGTCCCACAAAAAAAATAAAACAAAAAAAAAACCAACTGTGAACGAGGCTGAACTTCCCCACTTCCCTGCTCTGGGGTGAGATGGCGACTTTATTGCAAGGCTGCCGTGCCCTTTGCCCCTTGAACCCCACCGGAATCCCACGGGATGTCTCACACACACAGGGATTATCCACTTAACACCCTTTTCTTAACAAAACCCCTCGGCTTTGCTCCACCGAGTCCGATGAGTGATCGGGAAAAAATGCAAGAGGAGAAGCAACACCCTGAGAAATCATTCCCGAGCGCTCCTGTGTGATTCGGGTGTTTCGAAACTTATTTGGTCGCTTGAGCGGTGAGCGAAAATAACGAGTGGCTAAAAACTAAAAGGAAGGGGAGCAGCGAAAGCCAAATCGGCTTCCCAGGCAAACCAGACCGCACAGGACAATTTCGATCGCACGGCTTTTGAATGAGCACGACAGGAGCAGCGCTGGGACAGCCCCAAGTCCTCCTCTTCCTCCCCGTCCCGCCCTCGCTATAAAAACTTCAGCCGACGCCCAATTCACGCATTTGCTCCACGGTCATCACGTTCGCTCACGATCCCGGAGCCGTGTCCGGACCTGCCTGGCCTGTGCCTGCTCCGTGCCCGCTCTGTGCCCGCTCCGTGCCCGCTCCGTGCCCGCTCCGTGCCCGCTCTGTGCCCGCTCCGTGCCCGCTCCGTGCCCGTCCTGCGGAGCAGCCGCTCACGATGCGCCGGCCCCGACGGCGCTGGCTGCCTGTGCTGCTGCTGGTCACGGTCAGTGAGGAAGGGGCTCGTGGGGCCGTGGGGACCCTCCGGGAGCGCGGCCAGGGGGGTCCGGACCCCTGTCGGGGCTGCGCGGTGTTGTCGCGACATGCCCAGACTTGCCGCGCTGTCGCGGGGCTCGGAGCGGGGTCCGGCCAGGGGCTGGGATGGGGGGAAGGGTGGGAAGGGGACATCGGGGTGTTTGGGGGGCTGCCCTGGTGGGGTTCAGCCGAGCGGCGGGGGCTGTGTGAATGGGGGTGCCCCTGGATGGAGGTGAGGGGGGTGCGGTTACCTGCGGAGAGCGGCGGATGGGGCGTGCCTTTACCTGCGATCGCGGGGGGAAGGGAAGGGCTCGTGTGGGTCGGGGGAAACTGAGGCATGGAGGGGCTCACCTGCTCGGGGGGTTCGGACGGGCAGGGAAGGACCAGGGGGTTCACCTGAGCACGGCAAAGCGGGGTTCGGGGTACCGGGAGGACGTGAGGCCGAGGCCGGGGGTGAGGGCATGCTCTCAGAGCCTGGAAGGGGAATTTTTTTTTCAATGGGAAAAGCAATTTCAGTCCCCCGGCTCCGAGCACGTGGCCCCCGGCGGGGGACGGTGGTAAAAGGCGGCAGGCTGAACCTGAGGCTGGAGCCCAGGGAAGGGGATTTCCACTCCCTTTTCGCTCCCATTCCGTGCTGGCATCTGGTGACGGCGCCGACACCCCTTTGGGATGTTTTAACACATACGATGCTTCCAGAGCAGGAATGCAACTCGCCCAAGCGATGTCCAACCCTTAGCACAGGGATTTAGGACATAAAATTCCACCTGGGCATATCATATTTCCCCGTGGATTGGATGTTGTAGAGTTGGGGAATACCTGAACTCTGTTGTCACTTGAAGTCAGGAGGATCCTGCCCTGAGTTTTATCCCAGAGATCCTGCCCTGACTTGTATCCCAGGGCTGGCCTGCAGCCCCACGGCAGTGGAGGAGCCCAGCGGGTGCTGCTCCCGTGCTGGAATTACATCAGCGCTGCCCAAAACAGGTTCTCAGAGAGAACTTCTTATCCAAATCGTTCCCTACATTGTTCAGCAGCATTTATTTAGACCGGCGTGGTAAAGTCAAGCCTTAGTAAACCCATGCCTAAGGGCGCATTGGTAACAGCCTCAGGGTTTTTTATTTTTTATCCCCTTTCTTGAATGAATTTATGGGGAGCTGCGTGGTGATTCACATGGCATGGTCTGATATTGCGTCATCTCCTCTCTTGCGTCATGGCTGGACACAGGCCACCCTGGGATGGATCTCTGAGTTTGCTGGAGCTCAAATTCTGCCTGCATGTGGGAATTCAGGGGAAAATCCCAGCCTGCATCAGCCCCGTGTCCTTGGAGCGGATGACATCAGGCACCTGCCCGGCACCGCTTTTATCCCGGTTCTTTTGCTGCCGTCAGGGGCTGCGGGATGTGTTTCATCCTCTTTCGTCTCAGGAGTTCAGCCAGGTCTCTCCTTGGCTGCAGGGTCCAACTCCTTTTGGGATCACCTCAGGAGAAAAACAAATTGGGGATGGAAGCAGGGGAAGTTCAAAGCTTGATGCTTTCCCGAGCTTTTTCTCCAGGCTTGATCCCCCAAGAAGGAAGAGCTGATGAAGGATTCCTGTGCCTCTAATTCTTCTGCCTCCAGGCTTTCTCGAGTTGTTTACTGCGGGTGAAAACTCCTCAATTTCGCTGTGCTGGATTCTCCAACTGATAGTTTGGTCAGGGATGGCAGCAGGGTGCTGCGGGCTGATAACCTTATCGTGCACGTGTTGCTGTTCTCTGTAAAGAAATGAAATCCTGTGGCTGAGGGGCCCTCCCAAACTGCAGAAAACATTGTGGTGTCGCTGTGATCACCCTCACAGCGTGGCGGAGTTCAGGTGGAGAAGAAACAGGGATTATTTTTTCCCCGGTGGAAGTGGGACAAATTGTCCCATCACTCCCAGGACTTCCAAGACCAGAGTGGGTGAAGCTGTTGTGGCTGGAGCTCCTCAAATGGATAAAAAATTTTACAAACTTGTAAATGTTCCTGGCTGGAGAAAAGAGGAGCAGAGGCAGATTCTGAGAGATGTAGAGCCAGAAGACGTTGGAGGAACATGGATTTGATCCCTCTGAGTCAGGGTCTGGTTCCTGGGCTGGCCAGGGCTCGGGGGCCCTGTGGCCTGGTCCTGGTGGGTGTTTGTCCTTGCCATGGCCTTGATGCCTTAAGTTTTAGCTTTCATATTTTTCAGATTCTGTGCTGCCTAGGTGTGCAGTTCTGAGCTTCTTACTAAGTGGTGGTAAGCTCTCTTCCCAGAGCAGCTAGACAAAACAATCCCTTTTCTACCTTGAGGCCAAGGACAACCGGTACAAGTTTCCGGCCCAAAAGCATAAACAGTGTTTAATTGAGAGAAAAACAAGGAGGATGGGACTTTGTAACATAAAGCTCTAATTGGACAATTAACTCCAATATGCTAATGGACCAAAACTTACAAAAGTGAGAGACCTCGTGACTGGTGGTCTGTCTGTGACCATTTTGGTTCATCTTGGGCGTACCCCTAGCTGGGCTCTTGTGCTGCCCAAGGTGTATCTATTCAGGATATCCTTTTTATAAATCCCTACTTCATTCTTCTCCAGCCTCTGTTCTCAGCCAGCCCTCCCAAGCCGTGAGCCTGCCTGGCGCTTCGTGGCTTTGTGTCACCCTCTGCAGCCCCGTGACCTTCCCTGACCTGCTGCCAGTTCTGCCTTTTCCTGTGGTGGGAAGCTCGGGGAGGAGGAGGAGACAGGGACCGGTGGGCAAACTCCATTGTTTCAGTGTTCCAGGCAGTTTCTGACTCACGGCAGAAATATTTGCTTTAATGCATTTTACCCTTCGTGTTTGGGGTGGGGGGAGGGGAGAGAAAACGTGTCTGCTGCAGCCAGTGAGGTTGTGACATGTCTGTCCCTGCCACCCCGGTGAGCCAGGGGCAGCTTTATATCCACGGATATCCAGCTTTATATCCACGGATATCCAGCTTTATATCCACGGATATCCGTGGGGCCGCTCTGTGCTGGCTCAGAGGCCAATGGCGTTGTCCCCCTTGGGGACATTGAGGTGCCCAAAAGCCCCCAAAGCCTAAGGGGACAAATGGCCATCCCTGCTGAGCATCGTCCCCCTGGAGTGGCCCCGCCAGCGCGGAAGGAGCTGAGGCAGCGCAAAAAGGGTGTGGAGAGCTGACAGAAATGTGACTTTTCTTCCTGATCCTCGGCAGAATAACAGGGAAAACACCATGGCGTCCCCTGGGAGCCCAGAGTGACAACCCAGGGGTTTGTACTGGGCAGCAGAGCCACCTCCCAGCCTTGACACGGGGCTCTGTCTTCCCACAAACCCGTTCTTCTTCCCGACTCTTCCCTTCCATTGGGGCTGTTGGTGCACTCAGAAATTGGGGAAGGAAAAGGGTCGTTCTCAGAAATTGGAGGAGGAAAAGGGTCGTTCTCAGAAATTGGGGAAGGAAAAGGGTCTTTCTGAGAAATTGGGAAAGAAAGGGGTCGTTAGCGACTCTTTGCCCTGCTGATAACCTGGCAGGCAGAATTCCCCTGCAAACCTCCGGATCGCTTCTTGGCTTTGCCAAGAAAAAACTGGCCTTGTTTTGTGGGGAGTGCCTTTGGCTCTGAGCCATCCCAAAACTCCTCTCCTGCTTCACTGGGCACAGCAACTCTCACCCTGCCCTTTGTCCCCTTGCCCCATGGACTGGGGTGGTTTTTAACCCAAGGTTTTCTGTATTTTTTAACAGGTGGCCACTTTGGGAGCCAATGCTGTCATCCTGAGGAGGAGGGACAGCTTGGATTCCTTGGATCTAGGCTGGGGAGGGGAAGATCATTACTACAGGAACAGTGATGGTCTCTACTGCCAGAAGTGCCCTGAAGGTGAGTTGGTGTCAGCACTGATCCCACCTCTGCAGCCTCTCTGTGCTCCTCTTCCTGTCCTCGCTCCTCCTGAGGGGCAGCAGAGCTCCAGCTCTGCCCTGCTCCGCTGTCATGGATCTAAGCACTCGTTTTGGGAATATTTTCCTTTTCTTGGCTCATTTGCATCTGAATTTCGCTGGTGGTGGAATAACAGAATCCTTCAGGTTGGAAAAGCCCTCCAAGGCCACCAAATCCAACCAGTGCTCAACCCCCACCTTGTCACTGAGTGCCACATCCAGGCCTTCCTGGGACCCCTCCAGGGATGGGCACTCCAACCCTCCCTGGGCAATTCCCAGGCCTGAGCACCTTTTCCATGCAGAAATTCCTGCTGAATCCTCCCTGAGCTGCCCTGGCCCAGCCTGAGGCCGTTCCCTCTCCTCCTGTCCCTGTTCCCTGGAGCACAGCCCGACCCCCCGGCTGTCCCCTCCTGGCAGGAGCTGTGCAGAGCCACAAGGTCCCCCCTGAGCCTCCTTTTCTCCAGGCTGAGCCCCTTCCCAGCTCCCTCAGCCTCTCCTGGTGCTCCAGCCCCTTCTCTGTGTGTTCAGAGTTTCCTTTTCTCTTCAGGCACCTACATTGCAGAGGAGTGTAAGGAGCAGAAGGGCTCTGGCAGGTGTGAGCCCTGCAGACCTGGGGAATACATGGAATATCCAAACGCCTTCCGGTGGTGCCGGGACTGCTCGGTGTGCAGGGAAGGTACGAGCTGGGGGGGAGCGGGGCTGATGGCTCAGGCTGGATCCAGCTGAGCTCTCTCAGAGCACAGTGTCACCTGCAGCGTCCCCAGAGAGTGGCTGGGGCTGCAATCTGTGCCAGACCCACATCTGTTAAAGGCCACATCCCTCGTGCAAAGCTTGGACACGAGACTCCACACAGAGCAGGAGGACGAGGCTCCCAGCAGCACTGGAAGCTGCTGGTGGAGCTTGATCCAGGCACTGCTTTTCCCTTGGTACGGGCAGCTGTGGGGCAGGAAAAGCTGGCACTCAGCAGCAGGGAGGGACTTGGTCCTGCCCGGGCCTGTGCCTCACCTGGGGTGGCAGCAGAGGAGCCGGGGTGGAGCCGTGTCCCCTCCGTCCCACAGATCAGGTGAAGCTGAGTCCCTGCCAGCCCGTCAGGAACACGGTGTGTGTCTGCAGGAACGGCACCTTCTGCCCCCCATACCACCCCTGCGAGATGTGCCAGAAGTGCCAGCCCAGGTGGGTCAGTGTGGTGTTACATTTTAGTTAAATGGCGTGCTCTGTCTCACCCCTCGAAAATGTTCGGTTTATTCCAAGCTGTGTTCCTCCCCTGAAGTCTCATGTATCTGCAATCCCATTTGCCCAAGTGTTATTCTGCACCCACTCTGAATCTCCCTGTTAAGCTGTGCGAGGGAGACCAGACTCTCTCTTGGCCCTTCTCTCCCCAGGCTCTCCCTCTCTCCCCCTCCCTCCTTCTCCCTCAGAAACCATGCTGCTCCCGGGGGTGGGACCCCCAATAAACCCTCATCTAATCCAGAAGCCCTGTGGAGTCTCCCTGCCTGCCTGCTGCTATCAGTGAACACTCAGCTTAGGGTTCCCCCGGGGACTCCCTGGGGACCCCCCAGACGAACTGCAGCAGGTCGGGTGCCACGGTGGCTCCTGCAGGGTCCACAGTTGCTGAGCCCACCCCGTGTCCCCTCTCCCAGGTGTCCCGAGGGCCAAGTGGTGCTGAAACACTGCACACCCGACAGTGACCTCCAGTGTGGTCCTGACGTGGACACCTTCCCCTTCTGTGAGTCAGGGTGCTGGGCAGGGTGAGGGGTGGGAGCTGCTGCTGGGGCTGAAGCAGGAGCGGCTGCTCACACCCCTGCTTTGTCTGCTTTAGACCTTAAGGTCATCACTGCAGTGTTTGTTGTGATAACAGTTGTGATCATGCTTGGGATTGCGCTCTACTGCTGGAAACACCCCTGCAGCTCCTCAGGTGGGTGCAGGGGACCCCAGAGCACCCACCTTGGCCAGGGGCTCTGCACTGGTGTGGGCTGGGTGGGAAGAGAGACCTTGGGAGCACCCACTGGTGTGGGCTGGGTGGGAAGAGAGACCCCGGGAACACCCACCTGGTGTGGGCTGGGTGGGAAGAGGGTCCTGCCTGGGGAAAGAGGGATCACAGTGCTCTTTCCCTCTTCCAGGGGATGGGACACCCTCGAGCAGGAAGCCGTTTGAAATGGTGGTGAGTTCCTGGGATGGCAGGAGGGTATGGCTCTGTTTGTGGGCCGGGGTAAGGTCCTCCATTCCCTCTGCTCCCCACTTGGCCAGCAGCTCCTGGGAAGGCTGGAGGAGCAGGGGAGTGAGGCTCATCCAGCTGGGAAGGCTGGAGGAGCAGGGGAATAAGGCTCAGCCAGCAGTTCCTGGGAAGGCTGGAGGAGCAAGGTGAGTTTCATCCAGCTGGGAAAGCTGGAGGAGCATCCAGCCTTCCCAGCTGGATGAAACTCATCCCCCTGCTCCTCCAGAAGTTGGATGAGTTTCATCCCCCCTCCATCCAGCAAGGGAATGAGTTTCATCCACCAGTTTTTAGGAAGGCTGGAGGAGCAGGGGGATGAGTTTCATCCAGCTAGGAAGGCTGGAGGAGCAGGGGGATGAGTCTCACCCAGCAGTTTCTGGGAGGGCTGGAGGAGCAGGGGGATGAGGCTCATCCCTGCAGGGTTGTGGTAGAGCTGGGCCAAGCAGAGGAGGCTCTCTGGTAGTGCCCTGGGTGCTTCCAGCCCCTCCTCAGTGCCATTAACACTTTCCTGGTGTCAGTGCTGGCACATCCAGGATCCACAGTGGAGATCCCAGGGTAGGGGTGGGCTGTACTTGCGCAGAGCTCCTCCAAGCTCGGGATCCGTGCCCTTGGATCCATGGCAGGTTCCTGCCTTCCCAAACCACCACAGTTTGTGTTTCTCCCTTGCCACAGAGCTCTATGTTTCAGAAGCTGCTGTGGTGCAAGACAGGGAACGTGGGGACAGAGGACAACCAGGCCAACAGGCAGACAGAGATGCAGCAGCGTCACACGGCACCAGAGAGACAGGTACGGGAGTGGCACCCTCTGCCCCGGCGTGCCAGGCCAAGATCTGATCATCCTGGGGGGCTTCCAGGGCTGGGCTGCTCAGGGAGATGGCAAAAGGTCTCTTTGTGGGGTCAGGATGGCAAAATCTGCTCATGGCAGTCGAGAGAGTCCTCGGAGGATTTAATGCTGATGCTGAGCAAACACAGCTCTGGTCTCCCCATCTCGGGGCCTGCTGCCATTGCAGAGACAGGAAACATGGATGTCCTGGGGGTGGGTGGTGATCTCCTGCCCCAACAGCCCTGGGACAGAGGGTCTCCAATGCCCATTAATCACACATTGCTGCTGGGGCTTGGTGGGTGCTGTAGGACACTGTCATTGCAGGAGTGACATTGTCGTTGCAGGAGATGCTGCCGAGTGGGAGTGAGAGACCCTGGAGGAGCCTGGTTCCAGCCCCAGGGTGTGACCCCAGTGCAGGTAAGTGCTGGGGCCCAGGGGATGTGCTGGGGCTGGGATTGCTGTCCCAGCTGCCCGTGCTCTGAGCTGTCCCTTTCCCCCTCCAGTGCTGCAGCGCTCCTTTTACACCTTCGCTAGGAAGGTGCCCAAAGAAAACTGGAAGAGATTCGGCCACAACCTGAACCTGGAGGACAATGACATCCCCACGGACAAGTCGCACGATAACTTCTACGACATGCTGCGCAGGTGGCAGAACAGGGAGGGGACCAAGGCCTCCGTGAACACGCTGCTGGACACCCTGGACCGGATCAGCCTCGGCGGGGTGGCAGAGAACATCTCCGGCGTGCTGGTTCAGAGTGGATTTTTTCAGCATGAAACGAGCTGAAGGGAGCAGGGCACACGTTGCAGCTGCTTCCTTCAGGCTACAGCTATGAAAGAATTCTCAGAACAGCTGGATTGTAGCTGTTTGTAGCTGTCCTGTGGCTCCTCTACCTTTGAGGCCATGTTCAGCTGGGCCAGGAGCTGATCCCCACGTGAAGGACAAACCTCAGGGTCCTCTCTGCTGGAGTTACAGTTCAATGTTGGTTCTTCCTCGTGGAATCCAAGCTGGTTTCTTGATTTCACTGGGTCAGCACCAAGAGTTTCAAATAATTTCAATCTGCCTTGGACCATCTCTCTTGGAAGCACTGGTACTACCCAGATTTCTTTGGAATCTGTGCAGAGAGGGGCTCCCTGTGCTTTTGAACTGGATCATCCTTGAATGACAGGAGACTCTTGGTGTCATAGAATGGCTTCTGCTTCTAGAACATCTCTAAGTAAGCTTCATTCTGCATGCTTAGTGGTTCTGCAAGCTCAGCTGGTGTCTCGGGTTATTTTTTGTGAGCCAATTGTTTGTTTTTGTTTTTGTTCTACATGGTTCTGCTTGTTGTTAGGAGCCAATTTAAAACTGCACTTGGAGGGGACAGGGGGAATGATTTGCACTAGGATCACTGGTGTTGCCTGGGGAAAGGGACAACGCAGGGGCCACCCAGCCCATCCCCCTGCCAGGAGCAGGGCATCTCCCACTCCACCAGGTTGCTCCAAGCCCCATCCAGCCTGACCTTGAATGTTTGCCAGGATGGGGCAGCTTATCTGGGCAGCCTTTCTGCCAGTGTTTACTCACCCTCATTATGAAGTATTTCTTTGTAGTATCTAATATAATGTGATCTTCATTCGGTTTAAAGCCATTCCCGTGTCCTGGCACTCCAAGCCCTTGTCCAGTCCCTCTCCAGCTCTCCTGGAGCCCCTTTAGGTACTGGAAGGGGCTTGAAGGTGTCCCAGAGCCTTCTCTCCTCCAGGCTGGACAATCTCAGCTCTCCCAGCCTGGCTCCAGAGGGGTTCCAGCCCTCGGAGCAGCTCCGTGGCCTCCTCTGGATTTGCTCCAAGGCTTTCACATCCTTGTGGAGACCCCAGAGCTGCAGGTGGGGTCTCCCCAGAGCTGAGGAGAAGGGAAAAATCCCCCCTGGCCCAGGTTAGCCCCGAGGCTGTGGGGTGGCTGCTGTCCCTGTGTGCCCCAGTGTAGAGGGGTGAATGCACTGAGTGTGAGTGTGACCGTGGTACCTCCTGCCCATCTCAGACCTCAAGCACTGTGCCTCACACAGAGCTCAGGGACAACCTAGCTGTAAAAACAGCTGGGAAAACTCCTGGATTACTTGAGCTGCCACCCCAGTCCAGCCCAGTCCACCAGGACCTTCCCAGTGTGGTGGGACGGTGCTCAGCACCCTTTCTCCCCCACCCTCCAATACAACAAGCAGAAATGTTGTACTTATTTATTTAGCAATTGTAAACATAACTTTTAAGTTAATATATGCAATATAAAAATATTGGTATTTTGTTATGCATGGTTGTGTGTTTTTTACAGAGCTCTGGCCCAGCCAGTGTACTTTTCCAGTTTTTTACATTTCTCTGTTTATGAAGGTTTAACTTTAAAAAAAAAAAAAATCCTCCTGATTTTGTCATCTGGTTTGATTTGTTTTCCCCCCAGAACTCTGGTGAGGGCCTGTCTGGGGTCTCAAGGGACACCAAGGTCCAGGGTCCTAGTGGACACCAGTCGCTCCACGTGGCACTGAGGACTCAGCCCACGGAATTAATGCTCAGCCACCCCAGCATCCCACCAGGAATGGTCCCCACCAGTCCCCAAGAGTCCTTTGTGCCAGGGAAAGCCCTCAGCAGCCATCCTGGCCTTTAGTGACCCTACACCAGAGTCCCGTGCCAGAGCAGGGGGGTGCCACCCGTGCCTGGAGCCGGGGGTGGCACCGGCAGCGCCGCTCGGGGGGCTCCGGCTCCTCCCAGCCAGGGCTCTGTGTGTTGCAGTAGCTGTGTTGCAAATCCATGCAGTGCTTAGTGAGAAAAGGGCTCTGCTCAGCCCCCAAAAACGCCCCTGCAGCTGCTCCCCTGCCCCTGCACTGCCGAGGGGATTTCTAAGAGCGTGGGGCTGGGCTGAAAAGCAGGAGCTGCTGTTGACCTGCCCGGAGGGTTCGTGCCCAGGGGCCTCTCCTGGGCATCCCCCTGTGCCCCCCGAGCATGCAGACCTGGCAGGGGCTCCTGCAGAGCCAGGCACATGCAGGGTTCAGTGCCAGGGCTCGGGTCCTGGCCTGGGGAAGGCAAACAGGACTCAGAAGCAGCGGTGAGTGCCCAGACTGTGCGAGAAGGACAGAAAGCCGTGGTCCTACCTGCTCGCTGGGGCTGCCAAGGGACAGAACACCGAGGGTGAGGAGCCACCTTGCTCCTGCATCCGAAGCTGAGGGCGGGCATGCAGAAGGGGAGGCTCCAAGGGGCTCCACGAGGCCAGCTGGGAAGAGGAGCAGTGTGGGGTGGGAGGGGACACCCCCGGGAGCATCCCCGGGTGCTCCTCCAGCAGCAGCCTCTGCACGGATGGGCTCCAAGGAGCTTTCCCCATCCCAGCTGGGGAGGGTGAGGAGGTTTGGGTGCCTCCTGCCCTGCCTGGCAGCCCTGCAGGGACACAGGTGGGACAGGCAGAGTTAGTCCTATGGAAAAGCCACCTCGTGTTGTGCCAGGGTTTGGGTCCTGCTAGGCCTCGCTGTCCCTGCCCGTCCCAGGAGCGCTGGAAGGGGGTGATGGCATCACCCCGAGCCTGGCACAAGGATGTGCCTGTCCAGCTGCTCCTCCCACACACACAGGGACCACGCCGGGCTTTTAAAATACCATTTATTACAATGGAGCCTTCCAGGCTAAAATCCCAAGCCGAGGGCTTGGGGTTGGTTTCTGGTATGGCGGATTGAGGGACTGGGTTTGGGTTTGGGGTTTTTTTTTGCTTTAAGTTTCTGTCTAAACAAAACTGAAGAGTTAAGAACAGGGAGGAGGGGACTCCAGTCCCCTCCGTGCCCTGAATTAGGACAGACCCCACTTGTAGAGGAAATCCTGCAGTGCCTGGAGGCATTTGGGGACCAGGGTCCCCTGCCCTGTGCCTGACCCTGCTGTCAGTCCAGGGGGGTGGCAGGACCCCCACGGTGGCTCCAGGTGGTGAGATGCCATCAGACACCCAAACCACATCCCAGAGCTTCTGGTTCCAAATCGAAGTGGAAGCTGGATGTGTTTCTTCTTCTTCTTCTTCTTCCTCATGCTGATGATGTTCCAAAAAACAAAACCGATTTCCAACAAAAACTCCACATGAAATGAAACCACAACACAGCCCTCGTGCTCCTGTAAACGTGAGTTTCTCCTGCTGCTCGGGCTCTGCCAGTCCTGCCGCGGGGAGAGCAGGGCTGAGCCCTCCCCAGCGACCGCCCGCGGCCACCGCCGTCTGCTGCGGGGCCAGTGCCCTCCACGCCTGGCGCTGGGGCAGGGCATCCCACCCTTCCTCCTCCTCCTCCTCCTCCCCGTCTCCTCCCAGGGACGCTGGAGCCAGGGCAAGGACGGGGCTTTCAAACCACAGCCGAGGAGGAGGAGGAGGAGGAGGAAGAGGAGGCTGTGGCTGCCGACGATGAAGGAGAGGAAGAAGGGGAGGAGGAGGCGTTCCAGAAGAGCCACCGCCTCTTGGGCTGCCGTTTGAGGTGGAGGTAGTCTTCCTTCTCCCGCTCCTTCTTCGCCCGCTGGTAGTGATCCTCCTCCTTCAGGTACCACACCGGCGGCCAGCGGTGCTTCTCGAAGTACTCCTGGTTCTCTGCGGGCACACGGGGGGGTGAGGGCGGTGCCAGGACCGCAGGGACCCGCCTGTCACCTCCCCCTGGCTGCCACTCACCTCCCGACATGGCCTTCATGTCCCGGGGGAACTTGCGGCAGACGTTGTTGTAGTTGGTGCAGATGTGGTGCAGGCACCAGTCGGCGAGCTGGTAGGCGCAGTGGAACTGGGAAAGGATGGGACACCAGCTCAGGGCCACCAGGAACGGGCCAGCACCAGGGGTTCACCTCATTTCTCCATGGACATCCAAGTCCAGACCTGGTTGTCCAGCTCCTGGAGCTGCCGGACCCCTCTGTATGTCACCTGGAGCACCCCCAGCCCTGCCAGACCCCTCTGTGTGTCACCTGGAGCACCCCCACCCCTGCCAGACCCCTCTGTGTGTCCCCTGGAGCACCTCCAGCCCTGCCAGACCCTTCTGTGTATCACCTGGAGCACCCCCAGGCCTGCCAGACCCCTCTGTGTGTCACCTGGAGCACCTCTTGCCCTGCCAGACCCCTCTTTGTGCCACCTCCTGCCCCACCAGACCCCTCAGTGTGTCACCTCTTGCCCTGCCAGACCCCTCTGTGTGTCCCCTTGAGCATCCCCCAGCCCTGCCAGACCCCTCAGCGTGTCACCTGGAGCACCCCCAGCCCTGCCAGACCCCTCAGCATGTCACCTGGAGCACCCCCAGCCGTGCCAGCACAGGCTCCTGTCCTACCTGAGCCAGCTCCAGGAACACGAGCACGTCCCCATCGATGTCCACCATCATCTGCGCCGCCTCCATCAGGCCGGTGACCGTGTACTGCTCTGCACAGGGGGACACACGGGCTCAGGGGGTGGCTGGCACGGGGTGACAGTCACCCTGCCCTGCTGCAGCCGCCCGGACTCACCTGTGAGAGCCACCAGGTGCGGCAGGCAGAGGCGGTTGGCGAGGATGATGAGCTTCATGTCGTCCAGGTCGGGGCTGGAGCTGAACTGCCCCGTGTACAGGTACTCCAGCACCGCCCGCATGCAGCTCTTGCTGGTGTGAGGAAGTGCCACCTGCCACACGCACACATTGTCACCTCCTGGCCGTCCCCACCTGTGCCACCCTCCCAGGAGCTCTCCTCACCTCGTTGGTGGAGCTCTCCACAAAGGGGCCGCCGAACATCGCGGCCATCCAGTCGCAGCTGGAGATGAGCAGGGGCTTGTGGGCACTGATAGCACCGTCATCCAGCACGAAGGTGACATCTGGGGACAAGCACAGGGCTGCTGGGACCGGCCCTGCCACCGGGGGCTCAGCCACAGAACACCTCACCCCGGGGAAAGCAGAGGGAAGGGGATAGAGCCTGCCATATCTGGTATTTTTCCCTAAAACATCTCTCATTTTTATCCAGCATTCCCTGCCAGCTCAGAGGAGCTCGGGGAAGAGCCTCAGCAGTGCCCTGCCTATTCCAAGGGCTGTTCCCAGGTCACCCCACAACACATTTGCCACATTTGCTAGAAAGCAAATGTCACACTTAAACTTGTGTCCTTGGAGAGCTGGGAAGAAGGCTGGGGATCTCCTGCCTCGCTCTCCACAGCTTCTCCCAGGGGTGTGCAAGGGCAACCACACATCTGTCCCTGACAGGGACAGCCTGACCATATTAGGATCCATCTCCATGAAACAAATCCAGCCAGAGGAAGGCTGGGACATTCACGTCCCCCTGGGATGTCACCTCGTGCTGGTGGCTCGTGGTGCTCACTCAAAAGCTGGGGAAATCCTACTAAGGGCACTTGCTCCTCATAAATCAGGATGACCCTGTAAAAACCCAGGCTGGAAGAGAAGGAAGTCGCCTTTGCAGCTCTCCCATAAATAAACAGAGCTGCTGGGCCAGCTGGGGAGCAGGAAACCCTGGGGAAGGGCTTCACACTCACTTTCTCAGGGAAAAGAAAAAGGCGATAAAAATCCCCACACTGCAAAGTGTGACCAAAAACCCTGGGGGAGGCACGGCCACCCCCTCACACACAGAGCAAAGCCAGGAGCTCCAAGCCCCCACCCACCCTGTGAGCCCCCAAAAAGGACCAGGCTGCTGCTCCCGGAGCCGTACCCGAGAAAGTCCCCTTGGCCAGGCATTCCTTCACCCGGTTGGTCCTCCGGACGTGGAAGGCTTTGGTGATCTCCTGGTTCATGAACGCCTCGTTGTTGAGGATGTTGGCCACCATCATGCGCAGGTCGAACACCTCCAGCAGCTCGGCGATGTGAGCGATGTGCATGAGGTCCCGCTCGTTCTCGTCCAGCTCGCCCGTGTACAGGTACTTCAGCACGGCCCGGAAAGGACCCGGCTGGATGGACGCGTCCATCTTCACCACCACCATCAGCTTGGACTTGTAGGTCAGCGGGTCCTCGGCCATCTCCTCCTGGATGCTGGTGAAGGCCCTGCTCCACGAGGAGAGGTTCCGGCCCCGCCGCAGCCCGCGCTCGCCGTTCTCGTAGCGGTCGCCCCGCAGGATGCCGTCACTGGTGGAGGCTCTAAGGCACGGTTTGCGCTGGCCGGGTCCGGCCTCCTCGGCGCTCTCGCAGATGTCGAAGCTGGCGGCCCTCAGGAGGAAATCCCGCCCGTGGTGCCTCTCCTCCTGGTGCAGCATCCGCTCGGCGGCCGCGGTGACGGCCACCCCGAAGCCGTGCCCCGCGGTGCTCTGCTGGTCCTCCTCGCTCAGGTCCATGAGGAACAGGTCGTAAAACTTGGAGGAGGAGGTGGAGAGGTAGATCTTGTGTGCGTAGATTTTGATCTTCTCTTGCAGCACCAGGATGACGTCCGCGCACAGGGGGTCCTCCAGAAGGTGAGCTGGACGCTCCTCGTTGTTGGAAGGGGGGTCGGGGACGATGATGATGGGAGGAGGGGGCTTGGGGGGCAGGAAGGGGGCTTGGAGCAGGGGCCGCTGCACGTTGCGCAGGTGGGACTTCCAGAACTGCAGGTGGCGGCGGGAGATGAGGGCGGCGCGGATGGCATTGTCAAAGACGTCCTTGACGCCGAACTGGGCCACCACGCTCGTCTCGTAATAAGGGATCCCCAACTCCTTGGCGACCTCCCTGCCCTTCTCTGGGGGAAGGATCTCATTAGGTTTAATTGGCCTGAAAGAGACAGGAGATAATTAATGAAGAGAGCTCTTGAGATAAGGAGGGCAGGCAGGGACATCTCCAGGGCCCCACCTGGCCAAGGGTCGCCGTGCCCGGTTGACGGCCTCCAGGTCGGCGTAGCGCAGGTCGAGCTGGCAGCCCACCAGGATGACGGGGGCGCGGGGGCAGAAGTGTTTGATCTCCGGGTACCACATGGTCTTCACATGGTGCAGGGAGTTGGGGTTGGCGATGGAGAAGCACAAAACCACAACGTCGGACCTGTGAGGGGACAAGGGAGGGGTCAAGGTCCGGTTTGGGGACTCCCTCCCTGCCCGGGGTAGCGCTGGGCTCTGCCTCTCCCCACCTGCCGTAGGCAAAGCGCCTGTCCTTGTGGTGGTCACCAAAGGTGTCCCAGAGGCGCAAGGACACGCTGACATCATCTACCACATCCCGGGAGCGCTCCAGCACCTGCAGGAACAAAAACCATCCAGCGCCTCAGTCCCTGAGCCTCACAACCACAACAGCAGGACTGTCCCCACCGTGGGGAGTCAATCACAACCTCACAACCTTCCCACGGGGTGTCCACGAGCCCCCCCAGCATCCTCGGCAGCGCTCACCTCCTGGCAGACGCGGTACTGGTCGATGGCCCACACCGTGGGCACGTGGGTGGCGAGGAGCTGGTACTGGGTCAAGGTGGCGTTGCAGGCACGGGCACAGATGAGCCGGGTCTTGCCCACCGCGTTGTCCCCGACCACGACGCACTTGATGGTTTCTACGTTTGGCCTCTCATAATCCATGTCAGAATCCATTAATTGGGACCTGCAGGGGGGAACAAGGGCTCGGCAAACACAGCCAGGACCAGCCACGGGGTGTCTCCAGGGCACCACAGGGGCACAAAGCAGGAGGATGCTGACACTCCCTGGCAGCCTGGGGAAGCTCTGCAGCAGCTGCCCAGCCCTTCTCAGCTCACTGTGCCCGCCAGTCCCCTTTAAAATTTTATGTTCTGGTGGCAGTGTGGCTGCTGTGCCACGTCAGACACATGGCCTGCGTTGGATTGCGCCCTCCTCCCTCCCGGCTCTCCGGCTCATGCTTGTTCATGTGAGATGAGGCTTTTTTTTCTCCTCTCCCTTCCTCCTCTTCCTTTTCTCCATCTCCAGCGTTTGCAAGAGAAGCTTCCAGAGCTGCCTGACCGAGTGCACATGCGGGCACTGCCCAGCTCTGCTGTCTGGCAGGGACACTGACCTTCCCCCCTCTTCCCACCCCATCCCCGAGGGGATATTTGCCCCAGCTAAGAGCAGCAAGAAGAAACTCCTTAGGTTTCCCAGAGGCTCAGAAGCCACAGGGATTGGGAAAGCTCCCAGGAGCAGGCGTGACCCCAACACTCCTGAGAGAGATGTTGGTGCTGTGGGTGCTGCAAAGCTGATGAGCAGCACCCAGGTGTGCCACCCATTCCCTGCTCAAAGCCACAGCCTAAATCAGCCAGAATTAACTCATCACAGCATGAACCTGACGGTTTATGTGGTTTCCAGGGGGAAAATCACTGAGGGGATTGAGGGATAGCAAAAGGACAAAAAAAACCCAGATCCCAATTTCTCTGAACTTTCCAAGGCCACAGATCTCTTCCCCCTTGGGATAGCAAAAAGGACAAAAACCCCCACATCCCAATTTCTCTGAACTTCCCAAGGCCACAGATCTCTTCCCCCTTGTCGCTCCCTCCTGGCAGCGGCCTCCCGGGCTGCTATAATAAACCACCAGCGCAGTGAGCGAAAATACCCGGTAACGATGGCAACCGAGCCCTGCACGTGGGACCACAGCTCCCCAAACCGGCAGCCTGGCAAGGACTTCCCAATGTTAGCACCTCCCTCCGTGCGCAGGCTCCCTGGGCACACCTGGATCCACGGGGCAGGAGCGAGCCACGAGCCCCGTGGGCAGCTGGAGGCAAAGGCAGGTGGCACAAATCCAGGTCACTTCGGGTGCCAGCGCTTCCACACCGGGCTGGTCCCGAGGCAAAACTTCTCTGAGTAGTTGTCGCCGCATTCCACGCCCCCTCCATCCTTTGGGATGCAGGGAGTTCATCCCAAAGGGCATTGCAAACCAGGAGCAGCAGCGGGGCAGGTGGGCTCCTTCCCCATTAGCCCCTCAAAATCCATTTCCATCCCCCTCTGCTGCCATCCCCTGTCCCCTGCTCCTCCCAGGGATCAGCTCGGCTCTGTAGGGCCGGGAGATCTCTCGGGAGGGGGGGTGCCAGTGCTCGGGGAGCTTTGCCGTGGTTATTTTTAGGCCCAGCCGTGCTCCCGAGTCAGCCGAGCTGGTTGGGATGGAGGGGGAAGGCACAGGAATGACAACCGCAGTTGGCACTTGGGATGTTTGTCCCTCGTGGGGAGCTCAGCCCACCCCCAGCCGAGCCAGCTCGCAAAGTCTGGTGCCTCATGGGAATTAAGGGCTAAATCCTTGTGGGATCAGTGCCTGCCGTGAGGAGGGGAAGAGGGGGACAGCAGCAGGGATAAAAAGGGGGTTCTTGATAAAGCAGAACCTCCTGGGGGAGCTGTCTTGGCCCCACGGTGGGGGTGTCACAGCCCCTCACCCACGACACCACCCCAGGAGGGGCTGAACCTTTTCAAGCCCCCTCCTCACCTTCCCCACCATCACTTCTCTCCTGGGAACAGCTCCAAAATCCACTGCAGACTAAAAATAACCCGAGATGCTGAGAGATTGGAGTTCCCCTCGAAGGAAAAGCTCTTCCCAGAGGAGCAGGGCTGCTCCAGCCAGCAGCCCCCCAGCCCTGCTCTCCCTGCCTGCTGCAGCCCCCCACCCAAACCACGGGCACCCAATTCACACCCACACTCCCCCCAAGGAGAACCCCAAAATTGCTCCTTCCAGGCTCCCAGCCCGCGGTTGCCAAGGCAACAGCACCATCACCCCGGGAGCCGTCGCTTAGCAACTCCCAGGCTCCAAATCCTCCATCCCGCACCTCGCCAGGGGAGGAGACCCCCCAAACCGGGGCGAAACCGCCCCGAAACGGCAGCAATGCCCAAAAATAACGGGGTGCTTGGGGCAGCCGCGGGGTGCGGGAGGAACGGGGCCCGGGCGGCCCCGGGAAGCAGCCGGGGCTGTGGAGGCCGCGGCGGGAGGCGGTGCGGGAGAAACGGGGCCCCGAGCGGGGCTGCAGCACGGCCGGGGCCGGGGGATGCGGCGGGCACCGGGATCGGGGGTGCGGGGCATCTCGGGGCACCGGGGAGCACCGGGAGAGGGTGCGGGAGTTTGGGGAGGGAGCGGGGAGCAGCCGGACTGGGGGCGCGGGGAATTGCGAGGGGTCTCGGGGGGAGCTCGGAGCATCCGGGCCGGGGGTGCGGGGCACCGCAGAGGGGTCGGGGAACACCGGGAGAGGGTGCGGGCATCGCAAGGGGGCTCAGGGGTGTTCCGAGCACCCGAACCGGGGCTGTGGGGCATTGCAAAGGGGACAGAAAGCACAGGGAGAGGGTGCGGGGCATGGAGAGCAGCTCGGGGAGGATTCGGGCCAGGCGTGCGGGGCATCACGAGGAGGTTGGGGGTGCTGGCAGCACCCAGATCGGGGGTGCGGGACATCGCAAGGAGACTGGCGAGGACCTAGGCCGGGGCTGTGGGGCACCGCAAGGAGGCTCAGGAGAGCTCGGAGCACCCGATCGGGGCTGCGGGGCATCGCGAGGAGCTCGGGGTGCTCGGAGCACCTGGATCGGGGGTGCGGGGCACGGCGAGGCGGACGGGGAGCACCGGGAGGGGGTGCGGGACACGGCGAGGGGACTGGAGAGCAGCGGGAGCCGGCGTGGGGCACGGCGAGGGGGCGAGGGGGGGCTGGAGCCACCCGGATCGGGGGTGCGGGGCACGGCGAGGGGACCGGGCCCTCGCTGTCCCCTGTCCGGCAGCCGGGCCGGGCCGGGCGGCGGGGCAGGATGCGCGGAGGCGGAGCGGGGCGCGGGGCGGAAGCGCGGGGGGGGTCCCCCGGTACTTACACCAACACAGACGAAGCGGCGGCTCCCAGGGGCCGGGGCCGGGCTCGCCCCTCCGGACATGGCCACGGCGCAGCCTGCGCGGCTCGGCGGGGCACGGCTGGGCGCCGCGCTGCGCGGCTCAGGGCCGGGGCCGCGGGGGCCCATGGCGGCTCCTCGGCCGCCCCGATCTCCGCATCCGCGGCCCGCTGCGCTGCGCGGAGCCCTGCGCGGATCGCGGCCCTGCGCGCTGCGCCGAGCGGTGCGCGCTGCCCTGCGCGCTGCAGTCGCGGCCGCCCCGCCTTTCATTCACAAAAAACAAGCGGCCCCGGCCGAGCCCCGCCCCGAGCCCCCCCCGCTGCCGCGCATTGGCTCCGAGAGACGAGGGGGGGGCTCCCGGGGGGGGGTAGGGCGCATCCTGCCGCGCACAGGGACCCTCAACATGTCCCTTGCAGGAGGCTCCGTGGTGGCCCCCAGTCCTGCCGTGGGATCTCCATCCTGCCCCTAAATCCTGCCCCTGCTTTGTCATGTCCCCCTAAATCTGCCTTGGGACCCCATAATGTCCTCTCACCCCATAATGTCCTCTCACCCTCCCTTGCAGGGGGCTCCGTCAATTCTGCCTGCGGACCCCCTCGTGTCCCATCGTGTCACGACACGAACCCATCGTGTCCCTAATTCTCCCTTGCAGGGGACCCCTCTGTGCCCCCCAATCCTGCCTTCCATGCCACCCCATCCTGCCCCTAAACCTCCCTCTCTGGGGGCTCTGTTGTGGCCCCAATTCTGCCTTGGGACCCCATCCTGGCCCTAAAACCCTCTCATCCTGGCCCCCAATCCTGCACTCTGTGGATCCCTATGCCCCCTCTGCATGAGACCCCCGCCCTGCCCCTGCTCCTCCCACCCTGCCCTCCACTCTCTGTGGCATCCATAGGGGAGGATGACACCCTCATCCCCCCTAAATCTCACCTCCATCCTTCCTCTGCATCTGATCCAGCCCCGCCCACCCC